AAGTCCATTTTGAGATGCTTGTAAATTTCTCATATCTTTTTTGTAAACAAATAAAATCACAAGCATAAAGAAAATTTTGAAGCAAAAATCATATTATTTATAAAACATATTGGAAATTAATTTGGTTAGCAAATTGCAATAAATTATACATGTTAAATTATTTTATAGATTAATATCGCCATTTGTTTATCAAAATAATTTCTTTCCTTGTTAATTTTTCATTAAATTCAATTTATATAGACTTGAATTTCGCGATCGGATGGAATCGATTCAATTTGGGTCTCATCGGAATCTGGCCCGAGCCTGCACAAAATTTCAAACCAAGCCGTGGGCTGTCCCGATGTCGTTTTCTGATAGCTAGTTTCTTCATGCTGGGTTTCATGTGCGTACCACAATCAGTGAATCTCATATTCATTTGGGGCAACGTGGATATGATGACCGAAAACCTGGCAACGGCCAACATTCCGGTCGCAAATTCATTCATGAAAGCATTCACCATCTGGCATTATAGAAAAGGTACGAATTTCTTTCATGATTTAATCTCAAAAATCTAAAATGAAATTATTTGTCCGAAGCTTTGAAGCTGTTGGTCGACTTCTTCTACCAGGATTGGCATGCGTTGAAAACATCGGAGGAGAGAACGGCAATGCTAGAGAATGCAAAGCTCGTCAGGAAGATATCCATCTGGTGCACGATACTCACGCAGACCATGGTGACCATTTACATCGTCCTCAGGATCTCGTTAATCGTGAGGATTCAACGGAACGATACAGCTCGTCCCTTGATTTATACGGCTTATTTCCCCTTCGACGCTACCCGAAGTCCGATCTTCGAATTGATTTGCGTATGTCAGATAATGTCGGCTTACAGCGCGACGGTTTCTTACACCGGTAGCGACAGTTTCATCTCCATGCTTGTGCTTCACGCTTGCGGTCAATACCAAAACTTGCGCCGAAGGTTCAAGAATCTTATCAACGATCCGGGTGGAATAAAAACGATCCAGGAGTTCAATAATGAGCTGACGTGCATCGTGAAGAGACACGAGCATCTGAACTGGTTCGTAATCTGTGATTAACGTGGACACAAACGTGATCATTGAGGTACATTTCTCTATTTCACGCCAAAGAACAAAATTCTCTTATATGAAACAAGTTTGTTCAAAATTTAATTATTTTAAATCGTTAATAAATTTTTAGAACCTATTTTTCCTTTCTTTTTATACGTTTATAAGGTAAAAAAATATACCGGGTGTTTTAGACCACCCGTCCCACCCTTTTAAAACGTAGGGATGTGCTTGTACAAAAAAATGGCTTAGACGAAATTTGCATGATTTCGAGGGATCTATCTGATGGTGACCTTGACTTTGACCTCGCAGTTGATTTTCAAGGTCATTTGAAGGTCAGAGTTATTTTTTTAAATGGAAACCCCTATTTTTGATTCCAAAATCTAATAGCTGGTGTCAAGAGCTTTTCAAAACACTATAATGAAGTTATTTTTTATTAAGTACTTTTCGGGTTATGAGGCTTGTAAATTACAGTATTTTGACATAAAATACAAAATATCTTGTAAAATATTCAATTTTTGGGAATCTTACCTTAATACTTTTATGCATAAAATAATGAGACGAATCAATTGGTATAAAGAAAACACATAGTTGCTTTCAAGAAAAAATATGTAGTTTGCAACATGCAACTGCATACTTTTTCTTGAAAGCAACTATGTGTTTTCGTTATACCAATTGATTCGTCTCATTATTTTATGCATAAAAGTATTAAGGTAAGATTTCCCCAAAAATTGAATATTTTACAAGATATTTTGTATTTTATGTCAAAATACTGTAAATTTACAAGCCTCATAACTCGAAAAGTACTTAATGAAAAATAACTTCATTATAGTGTTTTGAAAAGCTCTTGACACCAGCTATTAGATTTTGGAATCAAAAATAGGGGTTTCCATTTAAAAAAATAACTCTGACCTTCAAATGACCTTGAAAATCAACTGCGAGGTCAAAGTCAAGGTCACCATCAGATAGATCCCTCGAAATCATGCAAATTTTGTCTGAGCCATTTTTTTGTACAAGCACATCCCTACGTTTTAAAAGGGTGGGACGGGTGGTCTGAAACACCCGGTATAAGATGTGTAAAATTTTTCACTCAACTCAGTAAAATTTTATTGTTATTAACAAAAGTTTATTTATATGGACGTAAATTGCAAAAATTTTTCGTATGTATATCCATTTTTACAACTTTTATCAATTTTAATGTTAAAATCCAAAATCGAACCTTAAAAATGTCGATGTTTGAAGGTTTGCGAAAACGATTGAGAATTCTTTCAATATGGTGCTCTTAATACAGATACTTTCGTGCACCATTCAATTGTGCTTTCAAGGTTTCCAAGTTTTTAGGGTAAGTGTTCCGCAACATTTTAATTATCATTGCCGCAATATTTTCATTTCATACATTTTCCATTTATACTCCATAATATACTGAAAAACACTTTTCTCCTAAATGTTGCATTTCTCTCATAACATCTTTTCAATCAATTTTTATAAGAATTTCTGTAATAAAAATCAAAAATATTTCAGATACTAATAAACAAAGATGAAAACGAATCACCGACTTTTCAATTAATTTTTTTAGCTACTTTCGTATGCTTCATCTTAGTGCATCTGTACATTTATTGTTACGTAGGCGAAATGCTACTCGTGCAGGTAAAACATATTGTACATTTTAATAGCGTATAATATTAATATAATTTACCGTTTTTTTCTTTAGTAATTTTTAATATCTTATATTTTTCTTGATTGATAAATTAACAAGAAAATATATTCGTAACTTAAAGAATCATAAAATTATTGTGCCAATATCCGTAGCGCATCATATTGCATTATTTTTATCGAGTAATATTATTTCAGAGTACCGAGATGGGATTTTCCGCATATGACTCAAACTGGTTTAATGTACCAGGAAAAGAAGCGAGAAACCTTCTATTTATCATGCACAGATCAACAGTGCCTCTTTGCCTGACCGCTGGAAAATTCAGCACATTTTCTTTGCAAATGTTCAGTAAGGTACAACTAACGATTTAATGTAAATTTTTTTAATTTGACTTTTATCTGTCTTCGAATATTGCAGTCAAATATCACAGTCACATATTACGTAAGTATATTTTATATCGTGAATTTGGTCGTCAAATTTTATTTTATTTCAGATCGTGAGAAGTTCGCTCGGTTATCTCTCGGTAATGCTTACCGTAACCGATCGCAAAGAGTAAGAATGGCGGAAGTTAAAATGTATTATAATTATGACAACAGATAATTATTATTGTTGAATAATAATAAACCACTTTATCATGAATTCGCGATAACTATTAAATCGTGTTGGAGATTTTCTCGATTATAGGGATTATATCATTTCGTACGTAATAATACCGTAAATACTCTTCACGCTAAAATTGGATATGTACAACTGGCAGATTGTTACTAACTACTTCTAACTTATTCTGTCAGTTTGGATGAACGATCAAAACTTTTTCATGAGCAAACTATTGGTGCTTTTATAGACGAGCATGCGCAATGAGCAATCCTTTTGATCGAAAACGGTGACACTAAGTAAACCGCTTAAAAAAGTTTGTGTTATTACCCATCCATTGTCTTGTTTCAGGCATAATTTGTAAAATTTACCTTGCCAATTTTTAATATAATTAAAAATATTTTCAAAAAACTAGATAATTGACAATTAAATAATTTTTAACTAAATTAAAAGTGCGAGAAGAAGTTTAATGAAATTTTGCTAATTGAAAAGCGTGACATTGTTTATCACAGAGGAGATTTTCCATTAATTACATCATGCTTTTAGTTTTAATTATAAAATATAAATATTTAATTTACGACACTATTAATAAAATTTTAGCTTTTATTTTTAATATGCAACGTCGTCGTTCGTATATTGCAAAAAGTCGGCAAATAATCTTAAAATGTTAATAAGAAGCAGACAAATTGTAAAATAATTGTAGAGTTAATTATAAAATGCTCTAATTAAGATTCAGTGATCATTACCAAACAGTAGCGCATCACCTAATATTTTAATTAATAAAATTAATTACCGCGACATTTCACGCACTCATAAATTTCGCGACTATCTCATAAGATGCGTTCCAAATGTTTCAAAAAGGTATTTTAATACATAAAAAAATATTTTCTTTACGATCTCCAAATACGCCACCTTAATTTATGTTTCTTAAATTTGCAGCAATTAATACAATACTAATAATGTAATGTTAAAAATATATGTAACATTATTTTTAACATCAATCGATAGTTGAAAAATATACGTATATACAGTGTATACCATGTATATACCATAAGAGTATCACTGTCTCACTGCACATGTATCATTGCTATTCGCTTGCAAACTCCTTCGATAGAGGGAACCTTTGGATTATAAGCGAAAGTTTATTTGCAACAAGAAGCAAAAAATGTACATTATTTTATTTAAATTTGTAATTATTACTTTTCTTGGACTAATAAAAAATATAAATATGTTGTATGTGATTCAAAAATTCTAAGCAGTATAAATGCTTTCTCAGGATGTAAAATAATTTTTTCAAGTTAATTGTTTAAATATAATAAAAATATATATAATTATATGTATGTATGTATAAATAGATAAATTATTATATTTATTTTATATATATATATATATAGATATTTATTATTGCTTACTTTACTAAAATCATTATTATTTCAATTTGTGCGGAATATTTAGAATAAGAAATTTCTGATGTCAAAAGGGTTACATTACGAGAATTCAAAATGTTATGATGATGACGTTATCAATATTAAATATGCTTAGAATCTCTAGTTTGATAACAAGATATAAAGTATTATTGCATATGTATACGTCTCTCGTACACATACAATATTCTTGAAGAGCATGCGTCGTTAAGACTTCTTTGCGCTTCGGGATGTCTCCTTTCAGTTACTCTAAGGTCGTTGTCGCGAAAGCTTCAATGGATGTCGATCGAGGTCGGTTTTAATTTTGTCTAGGTTCCTTACTAATCTAAATGCTTAATATGCGATAATTTTATTATAAAATACATAATGTTCAAACATTTCGCAAGATCCGTAAAAATAGTAGTGACCGCTTTAATATTTTTTTCAGATTATTAAGAATTTTTTTAGGAATATACATAATCAACATCTATATAACTTTTTGTTTTTATTCGTTAATTTTATATTATTTAATACCTATTATTTCACTCTCGGTTTATCAATATAATTTTTTTTACTATATATCATTAGAATATGATCGAGGAAGCATTTTATGTCAGTGGAGTGCGCAAAAGAAATTTCTTCACGCTAATATTTTATCTTTGTCTAAAAAGGCAGATTTGAAGTATGCGTACGGATGGAATCGTTATACTATGATATTTATGGGGATTTGGCCAGAGAATAGAAGTCTCAATCAAATAACGAATTACAGAGCGATGATCACCGTTTTAATGCTCTGCTTCGGGTGTTTGCCACAATCGGCCAATTTGTTGTTCATTTGGGGAGACTTTGACTTGGTGGTAGAAAATTTGTCAATGGGAAACGTAACAATTACGATTTCGATGTTGAAAACCATCGCGTTTTGGTCTAACGGTGCATGTAAATATATCAATTTTTATACGATAAATAATTTTCTTTTCATTTGCGATACGCATTAGTATCTGCAATCTAAAAACAGAGTTCTCCAATAAATTCTGACAAGTCAGATCAGTGTCTTTAAATTTGAAAAACTTGTACATTTCGAAATAGTCATTCATTTCACAAATAACAGTAATAGAATCGGTATTATGAGGCGTAAAAACCGACGTTTTAAATTTTTCTCACGTTCTATGAAAGCCATGAAGACACTTATGTCGTATATGGCGAGGGATTGGAGCGCGGCCGTGGATAAGCGAGATCGCAGGACGATGTTGCATATAACGAAGATCTCCAGGAATCTATCGATAACAAGCACCTTGATGGCTTACGGCGTAGTGATAGCCTACGTCACGTTTCGATGCATCGAGATCCAACAGACCGGTTGTCGTCAGATGCTCTTGCGCGCGTACTTCCCTTACAACGCGACCGAGAGCCCGCTGTACGAGTTGACTTTTCTGGGACAATACGTGGCCATCACGTACGTGGCAACCAGTTACGCGGCGGTGGACACTTTCATCGCCACTCTGGTGCTTCACACATGCGGCCAGCTCTCGAATTTACGCCACGAACTAACGAATCTACACGCTTGCACGAGAGCGGAGTTTCAAAAGAAGTTGGGAAATATCGTGAGGAAGCACATACATCTCAACAGGTGAGACCGGCTAAGCCAAGCGTGGCGCAAGAGCGCAAAGTGGAAAATTATCGCGTGAGTGCTCGACATTTGATATTCCGTTTCTCTGATGTCACACTCGAGTCTGCTCGAACGTGTCGTAACAGCGATAATGAAATCGAGTTACGTCAAGATTTTTGCCTTCTTTGTCCCGAGACTTTGTTTTTAAGATTGTTTTCAAAGCATGACGCGTAAAATGAATTTTTATATCTTCTTATGTAACGGAAGTGACCGAAGTTGTCGATACGATAACAGCAAGTTTGATTTAAAGTTAAAACTTTTATCAAGGAACGTTCGTCTTTACAGCGGCATTTTCCCTAAGATTTGCAGAAACGATTGAAGACTCTTTCAACATGATGCTCCTGATGCAGATGCTCGGATGCTCCATGCAACTCTGTTTCCAGTGTTTGCAAGCGTTCATGGTGAGCCACAAAGAGAGGAGCGATATAATCCGAATTAGAATACAGAAAAGAAAACCTATCGTTGTTTTATAGTCAGTGATAGACGAAGCAAATGAACTCTTCGTCTTTCAATTCACCTTTCTGATGATTTTCGTGGTTTATATATTACTGCAGTTGTATCTGTACTGTTACATCGGCGAAACACTGCTTGTCGAGGTAATACGATGACTATCGATAATTCGCAATTGATTTATTGATGTATAAATCCCGATGCTTTATCGATATTCTATTTCACTAAAACTATCTATTGAGATATTTGTATTGTTTATCTATATATATCTCTCTCAGATTCAAAGATGAGATAAAATCGTCGAATAAATATAATTAATTTTTTGTTGTAATAAATAATATTATTTTAACATACATAAAAATATGTTGTAAGCTTAATGTTGTGTGAGATGCTAAAGTTCTCTGACACTAAATGCTATCTTAGAAAGGAAAATTGCTTCGTCACGATAATGACTTCAGAATAATGCAGTCATTAACTGTAGTACACGCTTTCGTATTAAGGCAATCTGCATGACGCTATAGTTGTTAACAAGCGAAACCGAGATACCTATTTCCCCGGCAGCATTTTTGCCACTTCTTTTACATACTAATTAACTGAACAATCCTTCTAAGCGCACATATAAATCATCTAGAAAAGTATATAGACGAGACAACCGAGCAAATCATAAACATAGATTTGCATAAATATACACATTGCAAAAAATAAAAAATATTATAAGTTGCATAATTTTTCGCTTGAGTAATTATTTGTATCAATAATTTTATAAGAATATTATTAAATATTATTCTAAGATTTCATAAACATTTCTTTTGTTATGTTAATAAAATTTATGTGCGCAAAATAAATTGGAAAATAAAAATTCTGCATACACAAAATGCTAATATTTTGTATCGACTAATAACAAAGAAACACATTAGTTTTG